GAAAACCTACAAGCCAGAAGAGAGTGGGGACCAATATTCAACGTTATTAAAGAAAAGAATTTTCAACCCAGAATTTCATATCCAGCAAAACTAAGATTCATAAGTGAAGGAGAAATAAAACACTTTACAGACAAGCAAATGCTGAGAGATTTTTGTCACCACCAGGCCTGCATTATGGGAGCTCCTGAAGGAAGCACTGAACATGGAAAGGAAAAACTGGTACCAGCCGCTGCAAAAACATACCAAATTATAAAGACCATCTACACTATGAAGAAACTGCGTCAACTAAGGGGAAAACAACCAGCTAGCATCATAATGACAGGATCAAATTCACATATAACAATATTAACCTTAAATGTAAACAGGCTAAATGCCCCAATTAAAAGACACAGACTGACAAACTGCATAAAGAGTCAAGACACATTGGTGTGCCATGTTTAGGAGACCCATCTTATATGCAAAGAAACACATAGGATCAAAATAAAGGATTGGAGGAATATTTACCAAGCAAATGGGAAGAAAAAAAAAAGCAGGGTTTGCAGTCCTAGTCTCTAATAAAAACAGACTTTGAACCAACAAAGATCAAAAGAAACAAAGAAGGGCATTACATAATGGTAAAGGGATCGATGCAAAAAGAAGAGCTAACTATCCTAAATATATATGCACCCAATACAGGAGCACCCAGATCCATAAAGCAAGTTCTTAGAGACCTACAAAGAGACTTAGACTCCCACACAATAATAGTGGGAGACTTTAACACCCTACTGTAAACATTAGACAGATCAACAAGACAGAAAATTAACAGGATATTCAGGACTTGAACTCAGCTCTGGACCAAGTGGACCTAATAGACATCTGCAGAACTCTCTACCCCCAATCAACAGAATATACATTCTTCTCAGCACCACATTGCACTTATTCTAAAATTGACCACATAATTGGAAGTAAAACACTCCTTAGCAAATGCAAAATCACGGAAATCATAACAGTCTCTCCAACCACAGTGCAATCAAATTAGAACTCAGGATTAAGAAACTCACTGAAAACTGCACAACTACATGGAAACTGAACAACCTGCTCCTGAGTGACTAATGGGTAAATAACAAAATTAAGGCAGAAATAAAGAAGCTCTTTGAAACCAATAATAACAAAGACACAATGTACTAGAATCTCTGGGACACAGCTAAAGCAGTGTTCAGAGGGAAATTTATAGTACTAAATGCCCTCAAGATAAAGCAGGAAAAATCTAAAATTGACACCCTAACATCACAATTAAAAGAACTAGAGAAGCAAGAGCAAACAAATTCAAAATCTAGCAGAAGACAAGAAATAACTAAGATCAGAGCAGAACTGAAGGAGATAGAGACACAAAAAACACTTCAAAAAATCAATGAATCCACGAGTTGGTTTTTTTTTTTTTTTTAAAGATCAACAAAATAGATTGCTAGACAGACTAATAAAGAAGAAAAGAAGAATCAAATAGACACAATAAAAAATGATAAAGGGGATATTACCACTGATCCTACAGAAATATAAACTACCATCAGAGAATACTATAAACACCTCTATGCAAATAAACTAGAAAATCTGGAAGAAATGGTTACATTCCTGGACATACACCCTGCCCAACACTAAACCAGGAAGAAGTCAAATCCCTGAACAGACCAATAACAAGTTCTGAAATTGAGGCAGTAAGTAATAGCCTACCAATCAAAAAAAGTCCAGGACAAGATGGATTCACAGCCGAATTCTACCAGAGGTACCAAAAGGACCTGGTACCATTCCTTCTGAAACTATTCCTAACAATAGAAAAAGAGGGACTCCTCCCTAACTCATTTTATGAGGCCAGCAGCATCCTGGTACCAAAACCTGGCAGAGATACAACAAAAAAAGAAAATTTCAGGCCAGTATCCCTGATGAATATCGATGTGAAAATACTCAATAAAATACTGGCAAACTGAATCCAACAGCACATCAAAAAGCTTATCCACCATGATCAAGTCAGCTTCATCCCTGGAATGCAAGGATGATTCAACATGCAGAAATCAATACATGTAATCCATCACACAAACAGAACTGATGACAAAAACCACATGATTATCTCAACAGAAGCAGAAAAGGCCTTTGATAAAATTCAACACCCCTTTATGCTAAAAACTCTCAATAAACTAGGTAACGATGGAATGCATCTCAAAATAATAAGAGCTGTTTATGACAAACCCACAGCCAATATCATACTGGATGGGCAAAAGCTGGAAACATTCCCTTTGAAAACCGGCACAAGACAAGGATGCCCTCTCTTACCACTCCTATTCAACATAGTATTGGAAGTTCTGGCCAGGGCAATTTAGGCGAGAGAAAGAAATAAAGTGTATTCAAATAGGAAGAGAGGAAGTCAAATTGTCTCTATTTGCATATGACGTGATTGCATATTTAGAAAACCCCATCGTCTCAGCCCAAAATCTCCTTAAGCTGATAAGCAACTTCAGCAAAGTCTCAGGATACAAAATCAATGTGCAAAAATCACAAGCATCCCTGTACAACAATAACAGACAAACAGAGAACCAAATCATGAGTGAACTTCCATTCACATTTGCTACTAAGAGAATAAAATACCTAGGAATACAACTTACAAGGGATGTGAAGGACCTCTTCAAGGAGAACTACAAACCACTGCTCAGGACACAAACAAATGGAAGAACATTCCATGCTCATGGATAGGAAGAATCAATATCTTGAAAATGTCCATACTGCCCAAAGTAATTTAGAGATTCAATGTTATCCCCATCAGGCTACCATTGACTTTCTTCACAAAATTAGAAAAACCTAACTTTAAACTTTATGTGGAACCAGAAAAGAGCCTGTGTAGCCAAGACAATCCTAACCAAAAAGAACAAAGCTGAAGGCATCACGCTACCTGACTTCAAACTATACTACAAGACTATAGTAACCAAAACAGCATGGTACTGATACCAAAACAGATATATGGACCAATGGAACAGAACAAAGGCCTCAGAAATAACACCACACATCTGCAACCATCTGATCTTTGACAAACCTGATGAAAACAAGCAATGGGGAAAGGATTCTCTATTTAATAAATGGTGCTGGGAAAAATGGATAGCCATATGCAGAAAACTGAAACTGGACCCCTTCCTTACACCTCATATAAAAATTAACTCATGATGGATTAAAGACATACATCTAAAACCTAAAACTGTAAAAACCCTAGAAAGAAACCTAGGCAATACCATTCAGGACATAGGCATGGGCAAAGACTTCGTGACTAGAACACCAAAAGCAATGGCAACAAAAGCCAAAATTGACAAATGAGATATAATTAAATTAAAGGGCTTCTGCACAGCAAAAGAAACTATCATCAGAGTGAACAGGAAAGCTACAAAATGGGAGAAAATTTTTGCAATCTATCCATCTGACAAAGGGCTAATACCCAGAATCTATAAGGAACTTAAACAGATTTACAAGAAAGAAGTCAACAACCCCATCAAAAAATGGGTGAAGGATTTGAACAGACACTTTTCAAAATAAGACATTTATGCAGCCAACAACCATATGAAAAAAGCTCATCATCACTGGTCATTAGAGAAATGCATATCAAAACCACAATGAGATACCATCTCCCACCAGTTAGAATGGCGATCATTAAAAAGTCAGGAAACAACAGATGCTGGAGAGGATGTGAAGAAATAGGAATGCTTTTACACTATTGGTGGGAGTGTAAATTAGTTCAACCATTGTGGAAGACAGTCTGTCGATTCCCCAAGGATCTAGAACTAGAAATACCTTTGGACCCAGCAATCCCGCTACTGGGTATATACCCAAAGGATTATAAATCATGCTACTATAAAGACACATGCACACGTGTGTTTATTGTGGCACTGTTCACAATAGCAAAGACTTGGAACCAACCCAAATTCCCCTCAATGATAGACTGGATAAAGAAAATGTGGCACATATACACCATGGAATACTATGCAGCCATAAAAAAGGGTGAGCTCATGTCCTTTGCAGGACCATGGATAAAGCTGGAAACCATCATTCTCAGCAAACTAACACAAGAACAGAAAACCAAATGCCACATATTCTCACTCATAGGTGGAAATTGAACAATGAGAACATATGGACACAGGGAGGAGAACATCACACACCAGGGCCTGTCAGGGGGTGGGGGGCTAAGGGAGGGATAACATTAGGAGAAATACCTAATGTAGATGATGGGTTGATGGGTGCAGGAAACCAGCATGGCACGCATATACCTATGTAACAAACCTGCACATTCTGCACATGTATCCCAGAACTTAAAGTATAATTTTAAAAATGTAATAATGAACAGATTGACTTTTTTTGTTTTGTTTTGTTTTGTTTTTGAGACGGAGGCTTGCTCTGTCGCCCAGGCTGGAGTCCACTGGCGCAATTTTGGCTCACTGCAAGCTCCACCTCCCAGGTTCACACCATTCTCCTAATGAACAGATTGTTTTTAGAGTATTTGATTTTGAGTTTAACATTTTCTTAAAACAACAAAACAAACATATTAGTTTGGGCTTTACATCAGTCAAGTAGTAATTGTCATTTTAGAAAAGATAACCATCTAAATGTTTGGCATACTTTAGATAATTATATGATGAAGATCTCTATATTTCATTTAAACAAAATTACAGTTTAGTCAATATTTTAAAATTGTTTATTATTTTTAAAAGTTTCATCACTATATTTAACAACTTTGCCATAGTATTCAGGCATTATACTGTCATTGGTATTAGTCAGGTTCAATGATTTTATTCATTTCAAACTGAACTTGGTGTTATAAGTTTTGTTATAGCTATTACCTTCTTTTAGCTTTATAAGTTCTTCAGGTCATTATTTATATAAATTTTATCTGGCTTGTAAGATAAAACCTCATAAAACATAAATTTTGAAAAATATTTTTTAAAAATTTGTGAAACACTTACCCATTAGCTCCACATTAAAATTTATTTTCTCCCAAACTTACACTACGTCTTGAATTATTCAGACAAGCAAAGATAAGTAATGAGTCTGAAGAATGTGCTTTGGTTTTTACCTTTAAAACTTGGACAGTGATTTGGAAGTGCCCCTTAGTACAACTCCTTTTCTAAATAAAAGTCTGCTCCATTTGCAACTCTGAACATGTAAATTGAAGGGGTGGCTCCCTTGGCCAGTGCCTGACCTCTGTGCACACCTTGGTCTGGCGTGACCTCGCCCACACTGCACACTGCAGCCATATAAATCAGATTTTTGACATGTTATAAAATGCAAGTCACAGCTGCTGTTGTCTGCAGTATTCAAAAACTTTTGAAACACTGCATGTCCAACAAAATTTATTTTGTGTATGAATGTAAGTTTTTATTGAGGGTAAGTCCTATTTGTTTGGAAAAAAGAAACAGTATGAGTCAGTGATTTTAAAAAATCAAATAGATTTAATGTTCTCCTTCCTGCCTGTTCTCGCTCGTGTGTGTTCTCTCTCGATTGCTTGCTCGCTCGCTCTCTCTGCCTCTCTGCTTGTCTAAGAAAAGAGCTGTTGGCTTTGAGAGAAGACCTTGATATTACAACTGTGTTAGTAGATTGAGATTTCTGTTAGAGTCTTTCTGTTTAGGTCAGAAGTGTTCTTTATAGAACAGAATTGGGAGCTTGTAATCATAACGTAAGTATAAATGCTTCACCTCTTCAGATATATGTTTGAATTCTTTTGTTTCTGTTATAGCAGGAAACTTCATATGTAAGAGTGTCTTATTAGCTACATTGCTTTGCCAGATGCCAGACATTTTTTGTGTTTCTGTGGTTAACATTTTCTTTTTTTTTTTTTTTTTAATTTAATTTTAAGTTCCGGGATACATGTGCAGGACGTTCAGGTTTGTTACATAGTGTGTTTATTACATGTGTGCCATGGTGGTTTGCTGCACCTATCAGCCCTGGACATTTTTTAAAAGAAAGGTTCACATGGATTGATAAATGTAATGTGCAATCTATGGTAAACTTAAAAGTGCTTTTATAAAAGTTTTAAAGGTTCTATAAAAGTGCAAAAACTTGAAATGCAATTGAAGATTTTTCTGTAGTACATTTTGGCTATTTTCAGTAAATTGAAAAAGTGGAAGTTACTGATTCTACTTAAGAGTCAGATTGTAAATAAGCTTTATGAAAAAGCAGAAAGTCAATTCAGTTCATTCAGTTTTACTTACTGTCTCATATCGTTCATGTAAAATTCCATGTAGTACTCTACTATGTTAATAATGTTTACTAAAAATAAGCCTTATTAGACTTTTCTGCAGAGAGATATTTAAGATTAAATTACATTATTTAGGCAATGATTTATATTAAGTATGTTATTCATCTTTTAGTTTTGTTCATATTTTTTATTGAAATGTAATAGGTATCTAAAAATGCCGTAACTAAAATTTGTCCCTAGTATATAAATGTCTTTATTATTTTCAACATTTAAGAATATTGCTGTTAGAATATTTGACATTTTGTAATGCCCTTAAAAGAAGACCATTTTCCCTAAATTATTATTTTTTAAAATGTTTTAGGTACTGTTTTTCAACCCTAATCTCTTGACCAAGAATGAAACTATTTACAAATTAAGATGCCAACAGGTAATTTCTTATACATCTATATGTTTTTGTCAATATGTTTCCATAGCAATAGAACAACGATCAAAAATGTATATTAACACAAGGCTGTATTATTCCCTTCCAACATCATTGGAAGAGATGTGAATATGAAATTAATATTTCAAATATGAAATATTTGGTTTTGAGAGACCTTCCTTTATGACATAAAACTACTTTATTTTAGACATATATGTTTTATTGGTTTTATAACCTGATACATTCTAGCTTGTTCTATATCTGAAATCAGCTCAAATAGTAAAGGAAATAGAAGTCAGAATAAAAGTAGATTCAGAAATAGTGATTCAGGTTAGATGAGTTTTCTTTATTGATAAAATAAATGCCAAGTGTTGAGATATGTTTGACTATAATCTGATTAAAACAAGGACACTAATTTTAGCTGTGATAAAGTTACTTTCCACCCTCAGTGGAAAACCATATATGATGACTCCTTTGATTCTGATATAATGTTAATTTTATTTTTTAGCCAAATTATTCCTGAAAAATTTTATAATCTTATTGAAAGTTGTTTGATTAGGAAGAAGCATGGCATTGTGTAAAAAAAAAAAAATCTCAAAGAATTCATTTTGGTTGATTTTACTTTCTTTTTCACCAGTTCTCTGTAGTTCTGATTTCCTCTTTTCATTTTTATACTCTTTGGGCTATAATGTGATGCTGAAACAGGATTTTCTCAATTCTAAAGTAAAACAAAAGTTTTAAAATGTGAAAATCTGATTGTGGAGATATCTGACTCATAGCAATTATATCTTAGCAAGCATTGATATCTTAATGGCACATAAATGCTAGATAATTTTTTAAATTAATATACTAATTTTAATGTCAAATTGGAGTCCCAATGGGAGTAATGCCATTTTCTTATTCCCATTAGATGATTCTGGGTCATTTCCTAGACAGAAACAATTAAGAACTAACAACGTACAATATTAAAGCAATATAATTTCCCCTTTAAGGCTGAAAGATAAAATATTCACCAATTTTCTCTTCATAAATTACTAGTATAATGACTCAATGAATCCTTCTGTTATTCTAATTTTTTCTATACAATGGTTTTGGTGGCCAGGGATTTTTTATAAAAGGTCTTGGGGGTGAGGCTGGAAGGAAGGAGAGGTACCAAGGGAGAAAGGGAAGGCAGAGAGATAAAGGCAGATAAAGGAAAGGTCAAAGATAAAGAAAGAAGATGAGGCTGAAGAAAGAGGAAAGAGAGACAAGAAGCAAGAGAGAAGTAGAGGCTTATTTTCTTAGTATTCTAAAAGATTTGGCTGTATATCAAGCTATGACTTAGCTTTTTAATTTTTCTTTGTAACTTTAGATATGTCTTTATAGTTAGTAGCTATTACCTAAAATCACCTTGCAAATCAACACCTTATAAGATTATTTTTGGTTTCTGACATTTAGATTGTCATATAGGAACATTTAAAGTTAACTTTGGAAATAAAAAATTAATTATCTAAATCCTTTCCCAGACGCAATTTCAGATATTAATGTATTTGAGACCTAATAGGAAAAACAAGAATCTAAATAAATTCTTGGGACAGGGAAACTCTAGGTAATACTGCCAAATCTCTGTAGTAAGTGAGAAAGGCCCTGTTTGTTCTAAGATCCTAATCACCTCCTTTTAATCTAACTAATATAGGCATTCCTTATTTCTGTTATTTAGTGTCTAAACCCATTATAGTTAATGGCCATATCTTTAGGACATAATTTTTCTCTCAAAGACATAGAAGTCCCAGTCTGTCAAATAAGGAATAGAATTAAGTCTTTCATTTTGAGAAAAAAAAATTATTCATTCTGATTTTCAGAATTGCTACTTCAGTTTAAGATAGTTATTCCTATTCCTTGTTGCATTAGGAAAACTTTAATTTGCTTTTCTCTATTTTATATATGTATGTGTTTTAGATCACGAAGAGCCCTGTGGTCCCAGTCACAAGTCATTTTGCCTGAATGGGGGGCTTTGTTATGTGATACCTACTATTCCCAGCCCATTTTGTAGGTGAGTTAAATGGACTAAGGGAAGATGTTAACTTTATTTTTTTATTGTCTACTAACTTCTTTGAGAAGTGATAAAAAGTAAACAAAAAGTGTAAGATGAAAAGGTATGAGGCATATTCTTCGTATTTATATAGGGAAAATTTATCCTTTTAAAACAAAACAAAAACAAATAGCACAATAAAAATCTCACTAATCAAGGTGTTTATTTTGAAAATTGGTAATGGTAGTTCCTAGCCTAGACATATTTTTAAAAAATAATCCCTTTTAGTGAACTCTTTGATTTTAGCAATTTAAGGAGGGCAGTCTGTGCTTAATATTCCTGGCAAAATAGCTAGGGAATTTGCTAATCAAAAAAACCTAATATGAGATATTTTATTTTGAGTTTTTAATACATAAGCACATGATAACAGAGTTGGCACCAAAACTTACACTTTATATGTTAAAAAGCAAAAGAAGCATTGTTTTTCTAATAGTGGTAGCAAATAAAAAAGAATGGTATCTTAGCCACTATTGTTTTAAAATAATATAATTCACTGCGCGAGTACAGATACAGCCAGTGACCCATAAAAAACTTCAAAATAGTACTTCTGTAGCCTGATTCCTATGAGTTGGTTGAATAAGATTTAAGTGTGTAATAATAAACCTCTTTTTAGTATATGAGTTAACATCGTAGTACTGCCGTATACTGTGGAGCTAACACTTAAGATCTAAAGATATTTTGTAACACATGTGAATTACTCTTTTTTGTTCTTTAACCAAACTGAGAAGTATAGAATCTAGATTTAAGATCTTACTGTACATAAAAGGACAGAAAAGTAAAATTCATAGGAAAAGTTGAAGATACTGGGATGTAGTATGGAGGAGAGGAGACAAAAAGAAATAACCTCACAACTATCTCAAGAAGATTTTAGGGCTTTTCACATGGGGAATAGTGCCCCGGTGTTTTTCTTCTCTAGTGAATATGTAAAGGGAAGGGAATGGAGGAACAAATTAACAATTACTTAACACTCATGATGTGCCTCAGGAGTATACTCTTTTGGTTTTTTAATCTGTTTTCTGCGATATAATTTATGTATAATGAACTACATTCATTTACAGTGCGCAATGGATTAATTTTGACAAATGTTTGTACCTGTGAAATCACCACCACTATCACATCTAGATATAGAACATTTCCATAGATAGTCCCCCCCAAATTTTGTTGCTGACTCTGCTCAACACTTAATTCTCACAAACATCTTAGAGAAAGGAGGCAGGGGAGACCTTAGAAAATAATACAAAAAAAAAAAAAAGAGGAGAAAATGAGAAATTAAGTGACATGCCAAAGGTCATATAGCTGGGAAGAAGAAAGATGTCACCTTTGAATACAACTCCCAAGTTTCACTTAACTTTATAATATGTTCATTCTGGATTCTTTCTAAGGTGATATGGCATGTAGCATGTATAAAATAAAACAAGAATGCTTATCAGAAGAAGTGCATTTAGATCAGGCATGGTGGCTCACACCTGTAATCCCAGCACTTTGGGAGGCCGAGGCGGGCGGATCACAGGGTCAAGAGACCGAGACCATCCTGTCTAACATGGTGAAACCCCATCTCTATTAAAAGTACAAAAAATTAGCCAGGCGTAGTGGCACACACCTATAGTCCCAGCTACTCAGGAGGCTGAGGCAGGAGAATGGCGTGAACCCAGGAGGCAGAGCTTGCAGTGAGCCAAGATCGCGCCACTACACTCCAGGCTGGGCGACAGAGTGAGACTCCATCTCAAAAAAAAAAAAAGAAGAAGTGCATTTAATAATTTTTAAATACTAATATTTTGTGTCTTGATCTTGATGATGGCTACATGGGTATAAAGACTATTCTTTCTCCATTGGATTGCCTTTGCCCCTTTGTCAAAAATCACTTGATCATTTATGTGCAGGTCTATTTCTGGACTATTCTTTTCTGTTGATCTATGTGTCCTGTCTTTTCACCAATACCAGTCTTGATAAACGTAGCTTTATAATGAGCAAAATCAGGTAGCATGATTCCTTAACTTTGTTCTTTGGCTCAATGACCTTTAGCCTTATTTTCTAATAGACAGTATTTAATGTTAAAATTTTCAAATACATTTCTGTTTTACCCTAAAAATTTTATAGTTTGTTGTTCAGTTTTAGGTTTAAACATTTTTTCATTATGATTTCTTCTGTAACCTATAGGGTGTTTTCCTATGCTTTTGTATTTGTACCTGATTTAATGGCATTGTGGGCAGAGTGCTTGGTCCATCAAGCTATGCACTTAATGTCTATCTGTATACTAGCTATCTGTTATACCTCACTGAATAAGTTGACAGAAAGAACTAAGAATGCTGGAATTTGGAGATTCATTAAAATGGAAAGAAACCTAGGTTGTCATCCTGCTTTTGTACCTTGGATAGATGCATTTTTAATGTATTTTCAAAAAGTTACCAATGATAGAGAATGGCCAAGTTTGCTGGCAACCCACAGCGGGTGTAAAAATGTATATAGTTTCTTCCTAATATCAGAATGTAAGAGTAGTAATTACGGAGTAGTTGAAACCATGCCACATGGGTTCATGATGGATAGAGAATGAAGCAAGGTCACCACATTGCACAACAGCAGGAGATTCTGTGTCTTGGCACCCTCTTTGTAATGTGAATGATGTATTCTGGAGTTGCTAAACACCCTGGAAGGAAGTGAAGTAGGGGGGCGGGGTAGGGAACGAAAGGGCGGCTGAGAGAAAAGGAAAAAAATATAGTGCCTGAAGGCTGAGTGACATTGAATGGCAGATGTATTTTAATTCATATTTTATAAAAATAACTGCTTTCCAATTATCTTAGGAGCACATTTCTAATGTAGCCCTATAGGCTGTAATAGCAATAGCTAAGAGTGATAAACTCATTTTCCATCCCACTTCATACTGTTTTCTGCATTTCCTGTTTCTATTATGACATCTCAACCATCTTGTCACTGAGAAACCCCAGACTTATATTTGACTCTGTCATTGCCCTCTTGTCCAGTTGTCAAATCATATTTCTACCTTTGCTGTATCTCTCATCTCTCTAGTCCTTTCTGTTCTTACTATTATTATACTAGCTCAGAGTTTCTTAATTCCTTGCTTTGTCTATAGAAATAGTTCCTAACCAATTTTCCCAGAGCCTAATTATCATCATCTGTCCAGCTAAAACAAAAAAACTCTTCAGTGACAGCCCTCACACCTACCCATCTACCACTCATGAAGTAATACCTCACTTTTTAGCCTAGCTCTTTCAGCCTTCTACCATTTGGCCCTCAAACTACCTTTGTGGCCATTTCTTCCTTGGTCTGCATTCTAACTAGAACCATTCACTATTTACATTAGATATACTTTGTGTTATGTTGCCTGCCAACCCCTCCTGTTTCTCCTACTCCTCAGTCTACTCCACATGAAAATGAAAATGAAAAGGATGAAGACCTTTATGATGATCTACTTCCACTTAATGAATAGTAAGAGGTATATTTTCTCTTCCTTACAATTTTCTTTTCTTTCTTTCATGTTTTGTTTTTGTTTTTGTTTTGAGACGGAGTCTCACTGGCTGGAGTGCAGTAGTGCGATGTAACCTCCGCCTCCCAGGTTCAAGCGATTCTCCTGCCTCTCAGCCTCCTGAGTAACTGAGATTACAGGTGTGTGCCACCACACCCAGCTAAATTTTGTGTTTTTAGTAGAGGCGGGGTTTTGCCATTTTAGCCAGGCTAGTCTTGAACTCCTGACCTCAGGTGATCCACCCACCTTGGTTTCCCCAAATGCCGAGATTACAGGTGTGAACCACTGCACCTGGCCCTTTTTTTTTTTTTTTTTTAAGAGACAGGGTCTTGCTCTGTTGCCCAGGCCGAAGTGCAGTGGCTTGATCATAGTTCACAGCAACCTCAAACTCCTGAGCTCAAGTGATCCTCCTGCCTCAGCCTCCCAAGAAGCAGGGACTACAGGCACACGCCACTGCCCTTGGTAATTTATTTTTTGTGGAGGATGGGGTTTTGCTGTGTTGACTAGGCTGGTCTCAAACTCCTAGCATCAAACTCCCAGCCTTAAGTGATCCTCCTACCTCAGCTTCCCAAGGTGCTGGGATTACAGGTATGAGCCACTTCATCCAGCCCCCTTACAAGTTTCTTAATAACATTTTCTTTTCTCTAGCTTGCTTTATTGTAAGACTATAGTATGTAATACATATAACATATAAAATATGTGTTAATCGACTGTTTATGTTATTAGTAAGGCTTCCAGTCAACAGAAGGCTATTAGTAGTTAAGTTTTGAGGGAGTCAAAAGTTGTATGTGGATTTTTGACTGCATGGGGGTTGGTGCCCCAACCCCTATATCATTCAAGGGTCAACTGTATTTGTGCCTTAAGATCTAAAATGCTTCTAGTCAGCACATAGTTGCATCATGTGTTTTCGTCCATTTTTCTAATCTCTGTCTTTCATTAGATAATTTAATCTATTTACATTTAAAGTAATTACTGATAAGAAGGGGCTTTTGTAATTTTGTTATTTATTTTCTATATGCCTTATCACTTTTTTGTTTTTCATTTTCTATATGACTGTCTTTTGTGTTTAATTGATTTATTCGCAGTAAAACTTTTTTTTCTTTTCTTTTCTTTTTTTTTTTTGAGACGGAGTTTTGCTCTTGTTGCCCAGGCTGGAGTGCAATGACGCTATCTCGGCTCACCGCAACCTCCGCCTCCCGGATTCAAGCGATGATTCTCCTGCCTCAGCCTCCCGAGTAGCTGGGATTACAGGCACGGCCACCATGCCTGGCTAATTTTGTATTTTTAGTAGAGACAAGATTTCTCCATGTTGGTCAGGCTGTTCTCGAACTCCTGACCTCAGGTGATTTGCCTGCCTCAGCACCCCAAAGTGCTGGGATTACAGATGTGAGCCACTGCACCCAGCCTGTAGTAAAATGTTTAAATTCCTTTTTCATTTCCTTTTGTGTATATTCTATAACTATTTTCTTTGCATTTACCA